GTACCTATTGTACCTTTATAATTTTGAACATCTGATCACCTTATATTATACACATGTTTATAAAGACTTAATATACCAAACTTATTTAACCCAATTATATAAATAATAGTTTGGAATTTTATGAAAAAAATACCAATAGATTGACATAAACAGATTGATGAGTACTTTATACAGTACTAAAATGTTTGTGACGTTTCCAAAAGTTCCAAACACAACGTATATATATATTGTACATGTGTACGAGTAATGTTCATTTACAGGCGAAATTCTGCAGCACAAGTGGGACCAAATATTGAACAAGTATGCTAATTTTATCAGAAAACTGAGCAACGACGATTCGTCTGAAAAGGTTTTGGAACGATTCATGAAATGGCCGTGGACGAAGCCTATGCGTATTTTTAAACCTTATGTTCGCAAACAATTGTAAGTATGGTGATAAGGTACCTTACAATAATAATATAATATACACCTAATTAATCTAATACAAAAATTCATATATTATTATTTATAAATAAAAATTAAGGTGAGAAATATGAATGTATGGAATATTTTTATTAGCATTTGAATCTCATATTATATATTATATAAAATATACTATAAGTTGTTCTATTTTTTCGAATAATAAATGATCGAATCCATAGTTTAAATATATTCTTTAAAAGCTTAAAATTTGATCTCTGTTAATTAAATATTATGTATATACGTATAGGTACTATAAAACATTGTTGACATTTTGAAGTAATTTTACGAATAATACATTAAGATTATTGACGGAAACTCGCTGAAAATAACAATATTTAATATACATTTTAATATCTAACCTACTTGCCTATAATTCCTACTTAACTTATGAGTTTTTAATATTGATGAAAAAATATAGGTATTTATTTTGGAATAAATAACTCATTACAATGATAATGTTCAAATCGTTTTTCTACAGCCAAATACCGGAATTCCAATCCGCAACACAGCTGATACCCGACATGGACATGTCACACATCCCGATGGTGGCTCTCCAGCCTTTGCACACTATACCCATTATAAACGGATCGTCTGACGAARACGCGGCGTCTGGCTCCGGATTTCCGTTCCCGTTACCCACCGGGCAGGGATCGGAACTGCATGGTGTCGGTTTCGCAGGACAKATACCAGTAGTTCGATACGCAACGTTGTCGCCATCGACGACCAACGAAGGACTTTCCAATGCGAACGACACACCAACCACTTCGAGAGCTACAGACACCCAACTCACGCACCCGATACCAGAGCCTAGTCTTGAGATCCCTCGCTCGAGTGCGATGGAAGTCGTAGAAATACCGACCATGTCTGATATGGAGTTTGTGGGTCCCGAATTCATAGTTCCAGCAGCAGGATTCCCGCAGTTTTTTGAAAACTTGGGTGGCATATTGTCACCGCTCGGTTCCAATGACGCGAATGAAGATTACAATAACCAGATGGGGAGGAATATCAGCGCCGCTATTCGAAGGATGATGGAACGGTTCCCCATTGACAATGTAAACAATGACGATGGAAACAACGACGAAGACGATGACAATGACGACGAGGACGACGACGATGATGACAACAGCGATGCAGATGACGAGATCGCAACAGACGAAGAGGGAGTGTCGACGGTAGATGATGGGCCATCCAGTGCCAAGAAGAGACGGGAACAATCCAGCGAAGACAGCGATAAAGATGATAAAGATAGTATAGAAGCTGACGGTGATATAAGCTGCACAGGAGACAACGAAAATGATGATCAGTCGGATGTTCTGCCTGATCTGCCACAGCCCAAGCCGGAAGTCAAGAGAGGACCAGCGGATTTTAGTGCGCAGGAGCACATATTTCTCGCCTGGGCCAAAACGATGAGCACATTTACGGCCAAAAGACAAGCAACAATTAAAATGCAAATCAACAAAATTATGTCCGAGGCTGAATTCGAAGATTTGGACGACGAGTTTTTTGCAGGTTATTTTATTACTGTAAATGTATGTTTATTTAAGTTGATTATGACGTTCCTGACTATTTTTTTTAACACTTATCATTGCTTTAATTTCTTCGTTAAATGCATGTGTTTCTAAAAAAGTCTGATTTTTACACAATTTGAATAACATAATTATTTCAAAACCATATTTTTGAAAAAATTATATAGATACTATTGGTTCTTRCTGTTTACGTTTTTACTTTTTAAAATGAAAACATACGTTTTATTGGAAATTTTAATTAACCATTTTATGTGGTATTTAAGTGCCATATGATTCCATACGACCATATACCTACTTCTAGTTATTTTTTATTATTTTCCTGATTGTATTGATAAAAAAAAAAAAAAAAAAAAAAAAAAAAAAAAAATGGAAAACCCTCTAAAGCACCAACAACAGACTAAATCCAATTTTCTACCTACAGAATCAACAATCCTCAAAGTTCTAAATAAAACCATTTTTATATTTTACTACTCCACAGATAATTTTACAATAATGTATGATGTTGCCTATTACTGYAGGTAGTATTCAACAATTTGCTTATATAAACAATTTATAGTTAAGTTACATTGCAACTTGCAATTAGGTATAGTATTAAACTGTAGCCATACAAACATAAACAATTATTATTTCCATAAAATTTTAACTCTATATAATATATAGCACACTATATCGAATGACTTAACCAGCATTAGTCAAATTACCTACGACCTACCTACTTTTTATTACGTATCTTGACACCTACCAACCTAGCTTATGATATCTAATGTTTTTTTTGTAATATTTTTTCAGCCAACAAAAAGCCCCATCGGCCTATTTACACTTCACGCTATTGAATAAATCGTTTGTTTTATTCCCATCAAAGGATCAGGACTAGGATGTAATTTTGCGGAACACTCTACAATGCCATTTCATCACTGAGGATAATAACGTTCGCCGCTYCGCACTTTTCGTTTATATAAATTATAATATTATTAGGAGGATTAATTACGCATTTAATATTTATCAATCACGCATCATTTACGCGTGTTTATTATAAATTGGTGTCATTATTCGTTACAATGTTACATTTTACTATAACCTAATAAAAATATATATTATACTCATATACATATTTTATAATAGAAATAATAGTTTGTTTGAATTATGTGTTAGAACCAGTGCCGCAACCAAAAATTTTTCACTCCCCGCCAAAAGATACTTACCTAATTTAGTAATTTAGCCACTAAAGTATCCAGCCTACCTTAGTTAAATTTCGACTGGTTAGAAAAAAGAGAGGAATTTGTAAATTAAGAACCAAATAAAAAAAGACACTCACACTTAGTTCGAGACTCAATCTAATTGGATTTATTATAAAAGAYTAATAATCTTAACAAACATCCAAAACAAGAATCATATCTAGGGAGTTATGTATAATGTATCTATTACATAATTTAATAAAATATTTAGGTGACTACTGACTAGGTAGGTATATAATAAGCTTTAATAATTGTGAATAATAATAGTGATATTATATATTTTATATTTAATTATAGTGAATATTATAAACTATACTGACACCTTGAAAAGTAGGTATTTAATACATTTCGTTCAATAAACATAGGTACGTCACATACAATATCTATAGTACCTTGGATATCAAACAAATTTCATTTTCCTAGTTGTCAGACTAGCCAAATCTTGAATAATTATTTTTATATTTATTTCTGGAGTTAGTCCATAGTTGAAATTAAAGATATAGTTATCTGAAAGTCGAATTTAACACGTTCAGAAACTAAAATTGTTTTTTTTTTTATGTATGATGTTGTAAAATATCTCTTCGCTGTAATTTTAGGTAGGTACTGGATAAGTAAAAAATATTATCATACCTACAGTAGCATTTTGAATCAACTTATTACAATATTGTTTTAAATAAAAAAAATTACTAAACAAGCATGATATATTAATTATTAATACCACGTAAAAAATAAATAATATTTTTTTGATAATATCCCAATGAACTGCCTTGGTTGCATAGGCGTGTTGCTGCACTGGTTCGTGTACCTAGTAAGTTCATATAGTGCTGTTGTACTGTGCTCACGAAAAATACTTTTATTTGGATCGTTAAGAGCTTATAGACAACAGTACAAAAATATTCAATCATATATACAAATTATTATAACTTTTGATATTCGTTTAAGTATGTGACCTACTATATTGGATATTTATTTAATATTTATARTCAAATTTAAAGTCATAAAATCATTATATCTTATTATAATGAATTAATAATAATATGACAAATATTAAATAATACAGGCTTACATTTACTGGTATTAAGTAAAATAAAAAATATGTTTGAATAATGAATACCTATTATAATAATGTCATAAAATAATTTTATTTAAAAAATGTCCAGCAATACATTTTTAGGGTAAAACTTATAAATTAGAAAAAATAATCTTGCCTTGTACAAGATCTGTACCCATACATAATATAGATAATTGTCTTGATAAGTAACATACCAAATTCGATTTTCACACAGTAAGTCACATACTAAACGAATACATAATTTTTAACTGTACATAATTAATATAATACTTTATATACTATTGTATTTATGTATTAGTAAATATACGCATTTAATTTTTATGTATTTCAGTGAATCCTGAAAAAAAAAACCATAATTATAATATAATCAGGGATTAGAATAATCACTATAAACCTTATACGAGTTACTGATGTTATAACCTAACTACCTAACCCTTTTCATAGATAATCACAGGATATAATATACAGTACTATCAAATATTATATTACTATTTATCTATATTCTATATGATATTTATTTTGTCAAATTTATCACAAAGATATTTTTTTTCCAATTTTTAACATTGGTTTTATAATATAATGGTAATAATTATTATATATTATTAATATATTAATATATTACAATCATATATTGAGTGTTTCAAAAAAAAAAAAATATAAGAGATATATTTTTATCTAGAAAAATCTATACAAGTGAGCATAATAATAAATAATTTAAGTTATGACATGAATTTTAGTTTCAAAAATCCCTGTAGCATGGATTTCATAATATATAAAATCTATAAATCTATCTATATATATATATAATATATACCTAAGTATATTATAAAAACAATGCCTGTAAATACACTATTGTTTTCAAAAATTAAAAATAACTCAACAATATAATCAGACAAGTCTGGAAAGTTAATCTCTTAAGATATATGGTTGAAATTGGGGAATATGCCGATCATATAAAAAAATATTGATAACACYACAGCTAAAATATTAGATATTATATTCTGTGATTATACTAAAATTATATTTATTTATTATTTATATTATTATATTATCATTTTGTTTTTTTCCATATACTATTTTAGCTGTTATAACTTAAGCGTATTTTCACATGATGTTTAAAATTATTAATGTTTAAATTTGTATGTCATTGAGTTATTTGTTAAATTATAACTGTCATTACTCATGATTAACAATTAAAGGAAAATGGAAATGGGATGAAAATCTACAGTTATTAATCTGTACTTAGTTATAAGCACACTTTTGTCAATTTTTAGTATTTAACTATTTTTATAAAATTAAATGCTAAAAGGTTAGGTACAAGAGAGAGAGAGAGAGAGAAATATATCAGTAAACATTTAACTCAAATATTTTAAAATATCTTAATATATAAAAATTCAGGACATCTATTATAATAGCCCTAAGCATGTAAAATATTAATATGAAAATAGAATTATTAACAATTTTAAATAATCAAAAACGAAAATCACATTGCTTTTAAGTTTTAACAGAAGTAAGTTCATACACAGCTGTTTTTTAAATGACACATCAGACATTTAAATCTGGAAAAGTAATCAAAAAATTGCAGTGAAAGGAAAGTACACTTTTTGAAACCAATATTGTGTTAATACTGCTAAAAATTAAATAATCAAAATACAAATAGATTTGTTAACACAAAATGTATTTACTACTATTTGTAACTGACAATCATAACAATTTAAAAAAAAATGACAGTTTATAGAATATTGCATTGACTGTTTTGTCAACGTTTCAGAACATTAATGAATGTGTCTCGGGGAATTTCAATGTTTCCAACCATTTTCATTTTTTTTTTAGCATCCGATTGTTGTTTTAAAAGTTTCATTTTTCTTGTTATATCACCACCACGTTTTCCACACTATAAAATAAATCAACAAATTATTATAAGTATTTAATATCATTACTTATTAATATAAATAATATCAAAAACCGTGTTTATATTAGGTAACAATATAAATTTGATTAAAAATTTAGAATACTTACAAAAATAAGTTTGCTTAGAAATATAATATTATATAATTAAATAGAAAATTTAATATTATTGTATTAGAATATTGTAGAGGTGGGTCGAACTGTTCGAAATTCGAAAAATCGAACCAAACTTTAGGTGTTCGGTTCGAGTTCGAAAGTCGAACCCAGTTTTAAAAAAACCGAACAGAACCGAACTCGAACAAAAAAGTTCGGAAGTAAAAATAGTAATTAAAATAGTTCGAACTCAAAAAATGTACGAACAGTAAAAATTCTAATATGTCAAACGTTTCGAACTAAAAATGTTTCCGATGTTCATTTTATTTTTAGTTTTCCTATTATCTATAGTCTATATAGTTATATACTATAATAATTATAATATACTATATTATAGTAGGTATATACAATATTCTATATTATATACTTTGTATTTAAATTTTAAATATTACAAATGTAAAATTAAAACTACGATATTGTCCGGGCATTGATTATTATTTATTTCTTGTGCTATTGAATTATTTATTACTAAAGTATTAGAAAAAAAAAAAAAAATATATATATGTAATAAAATGTGTGATATAAGGTGGAATCTAAGTAAATAGTTTAATGAATAAAATGTTTTTGGTAATACTAAATAGTAATAAAAAATAAAGTAAATACCCAATTATAATAAATATTAAATAAGTATACAAAAAAGATTTTGGTTCGGTGGTTAATAGTTAATACTGTTAATAGGTAATTAATAATTATGATTTGTATTTTACTATTTTGTATGAATTATTATTATTATTAATTAATTACATTTTTATTTATATGGTTTTATTAATTAATAATTTTTTTTGTGTGTTTGCTTATTTAAAGTTATATTATAAATATACAAATACACAATAATTATCATTATAATACATGTATAAATAATAAATATACATCTGGGGACTGGAATAATATTTTGAAAAAATGTTGGTCAATATTAAATTAACTTCACTCACAAGTCACAATAGTTTTTTTGAATTCAATGATTTATATTGTTGCTTTCAAATTCAAATATGTATCTCTAATTATTAATTAGTAATTTATTATAATTTTTATCTTATTTCTTATATAATATTATTAACTGGTTTGGATGTTCTTAACCCTGCTGTTGTCTGGTCAATTTTCTTGCGTTTGTAGTTTGTACCTATTATTTATTAATAAGTAATTAGTAATTCCCAATTACTTATATATTTGCTTTATGTATTAGAATGGCAAGTGGGTCAATGTTGAAATATATTCAGACAAATAATTCTGAATTAACAGTATTGTGGAWGATGAAGATGAACCAAGAGAAATATCTGAACCGCAAACTGAACAAACTATTGAAAAAAAAAGACAAATTTACAGTTATTTTAAGAAAATATCTGAAGATCAATCCAAATGTAATTTTTGTTACAAAAATTTAAAAACACCAAACTCAACTACAACTACAATGACAAGGCATTTAAAAACTCAACATCCTACAAAATTTCAAGATTATCAGAATGAATTACATACTAATGAAATAAATAACAAAAAAAGAAAGAATAAAGATACATCTCAACAACAAGATATCATGAAATCAATGTCAAAATCTGAAAAATTTTCAGCTAGTAATAAGAAAGCAAAGTTGATTACAGAAAGAATTGTGGAAATGATTGCTTTGGATTACCAACCTATTTCAATTGTAGAAGATTATGGATTTAAGAGGGTGATAGCTGCTGCTGAGGATAGATATGTTTTACCAAGTCGTAAGTTACTATCTCAAAAACTAATACCAGAGTTGTATGCGAACAAAAAAAAATTGTTAATGACTGAAATTAAAAGGGATTTAGAAAATATAAAATCAATTTCTTTTACATTTGACCTTTGGTCAAGTTAAACGCAACAGTCTTACATTTCTCTAACTTGCCATTACCTAACGAACAAATTTAGACTCAAGAATAAAACTCTTGGTTGTTCCTACTTTCCAGGAGAGCATACAGGTAATGCCATAAATAATAAAATTAAAAATATGATTGCAGAATGGAATATTGAAATTGAAAATAGTGACTCAAATATATCCATTTTTTTTGTTACTGATAATGCTAGAAATATATCCAGTGCCCTTAGTCACAATGGAAGTAACTTTGAACACATTTCATGTAC